TCCTACTTTGTACTCTTTCTTTTATGGATCATCTGAATCACGAAGTCAGTGTCAAAATTTGAATTTCACATTTTCATGGATTTTTATGCAGTTTTGTTGAGTTAATGCCTTATTAATTTTAAACTGAGTAGCTTTTGTCTTTGTTTTAATCCATTCTTGGAAATATTGTTGCAATGTCATTAACTGCACAGGTAGTAAGTTTTGAATTTCCCAGTGCATATGCAATATTTTGGTAGCTTTATTATCTTATTGGATCTTTGGTTGAGTAATTGATGCAAAGGGTACAATACTTGAATTATTCCTATTTTTCAAAAACATATTTTTCTATTACTATCTGTTTTCTACTTGATCCCATATATTTGCTACTTAAGTGCCTGTTCCTATCTTGGAGGCTTTTAGGTGAATGCAATAAATCAACTTTCCACTGTATTCAATTTTTTATTATCTTCATTTTTCTGTTCTTGTAGATTGCAGACCTTCTGCCTCTTCAGAAAAAGTTCATGGACCTTAAATCACAGTTAGAACTTAAAATGCATGACCTTTCCTTATTTCAGAACAGGGCAGAGAAAAATGAACATCATAAGGTTTTTTATTTATTTTGTATTCAACCAATCAGTTTAACTCATTTAAGTCATCATGCTGCCTCTGGGCACTGGAAATTTTTTGTTTAATTTCTCATTTTTCGTATTTTTGGATGCAACTAGCTTGCAGAAATGGTAAAGAGCATTGAGCAAGAACTTGAACAAGCAAAATCAGCTGTTAAAGAAAAGCAGATTTTGTGTGAAAAGCATGTTAGTACAGTTTTGGAGCTTGAGAAATCAATTAGGGATCATGATAATAATAGAGAGGGCAGACTTAAAGACTTGGAGAGAAAGATTAAGGCTACAAAAGCTCAAATGCAGTCAACTTCAAAGGATCTCAAGGTAAATTCTGATATTGTTTTTTGGTTGTGCCTGTAACAATTTTGAAGAAACAAAGAGTTATGTTATTTGAACTTATTATGCAACGTTGCTATGTTTTAGCTTCATATGTGAGATAGAAAGAGGTTATGGTGAATTTGTGTTTGTCCATATTTTTGGATTTTTTTGATGTGGTTGCAGTTATTGACACTACCAATCTTTCTTTTCTCAATTTCCAACAACCACTTATTTCTAGTACCTAAAATCCCCTTTTCTTTGGCGGTGGGGGGGGTGGGTGGGTGTGTGGGTGTGTGGTTGTGTGGATTTTGAAGGTCCAAAGTTCCCCTAAGTGACCTTTTTGTGATTGATAAATGTCATTCCTCTCTAATGCTTCAAGTTTTTGGTTTACTTTTCTTTACAGATGTAGAATAAGTTTATCTTGGAACTTGCTATTGCATATTTTTAGGGGCATGAAAATGAAAGAGAGAGATTTGTTATGGAACGGGAAGCAGTCATACAAGAACAATCATCTTTAGAAAGTCAATTGGCTTCTTTGAGAATGCAAATTAACAATCTCAGTTTGGAAGTACAAGAACAAGTGGCCAAGGTATAGGCAGATCTCCTGTCTTGTTTAACTCTGTTATAAAATTCATTTCCTCGTACTGTTTGCAGGTTGATTCCCTAAAAAAAAATCGTGACCAATTGCAATCTGAGTTAAATTCTATTCGGATAAAGATGAAGGAGTGTGATTCCCAAATTAGCAGCATTCTTAAGGAGCAGCAAAACCTTCAGCATAAACTTAGTGACTTAAAGCTTGAGAGGAAAAAGTTGGAAAATGAGGTAATTTTATTCATTCAGCTTTGTAGGTGTCCTATAACTTCAGGCAGTGAAATACAACTTTTAATTTTGTCTTTTAGGTAAAGCAAATGGAAAGAGAGCAGAAAGATTGCTCCACAAAAGTAGACAAACTGATCGAGAAGCATGCCTGGATTGCTACTGAATGGCAACTTTTTGGCAGAGGTGGGACAGATTATGATTTTGTATCCCGTGATCCTCATAAAGCAAGGGAAGAACTTGAAAAGCTTCAAGCTGAACAATCAAGGTATGCAGAGTTAAACAAATTCTGTTGGCAAAATTTTCACATCCATATACTCAAGAACAATCATCTTCTACTATTATGAGAGGTGATTGCTTACTTGATTTGATTGGGTTTTATTTTTTGGGCTCCCCCTCTCATGAAGCCTTGAAAAAAGAGTGAACAAGAAAGTGATGGCTATGTTCGAGAAAGCAGAAGATGAGCATAATGATTTGATGTCAAAGAAAAACACAGTGGAGGTTGGCTACTCAATCTGTCTTAACCTCTTTTTTTTTTGCATTTGAATCTTCCTTATCCTATAATTTCTCTGGCTAGAATGACAAATCTAAAATTAAGAAGACAATTGAAGAGCTAGATGAGAAGAAGAAAGAAACACTAAAGGTCACTTGGGTCAAAGTTAACAAGTAAGCATCACTTTCTGATATGTTTGGTTTTTCTGCATTTTATTTTGTGTTTGAATCTCATTTTTTAGATGTTATGTTCCAATTCTGATGAGTCTTTTGGTTTTGAGGTTTCAAAAAGTTGATTTTGCTTTGTCCTTTGTAATACACTTTACTTCAGTGACTTTGGGTCCATCTTTTCTACCCTATTGCCGGGAACCATGGCTAAGCTAGAACCACCAGAAGGCTGCAGCTTCTTAGATGGTCTTGAGGTCCGTGTGGCATTCGGTGGTGTTTGGAAACAGTCTTTGTCTGAACTGAGTGGAGGTCAAAGGTCTCTGCTTGCACTTTCTCTAATCTTGGCTCTGCTGTTGTTTAAGCCTGCTCCACTTTATATACTTGATGAGGTATGCTTGGTTTTTTCTTCCCACTTTTCCTTACTGCACATGCAACCATTTGCATGCTTCCCAGACCAATAGTTTTCCTTGTTTGATTTTCTTTTCTGGCTAGAAAAGTTCTTTGTTTGATGAAAGTGGATCCATTGATGTACTTCAATTTGATTGCTTCTAACATAGTTTAGAAGTTATACTTTTTCTGCTCCTTATAATTGATTTTGCTGAGATTTCTAAGTGGCATTTTCATAATTAACCCTGTGCAAGCCCATAGAAGGTTCTTGTTTATTATGCTATAGGATAGTTACAAATAGTGTAGTAACAGCATGAAACAAGAAAAAGGCAATAGCGGTCTAATATTGAGAGATAGCTTAGACAAGCTAGACTTGAAAGTAATTTCTGAATATTTTATTTTGATCATAGTTTTCTTTTGAATATTTTTTTGGCCATAGTTTTCTTTTGATACTGTACTTCTTGTTTGACCTTTTTATATTGTACATTTATTGTTTTGAGTAAATTTTTTTTTCAAAATGACAGTCAAAGTGCATAACTTCGTTATGAATTGGTTGTAACAGGTTGATGCAGCTCTAGATCTAAGCCACACTCAGAATATAGGGAGGATGATTAAAGCTCACTTTCCACACTCTCAGGTTTGATGATTCTTTGTTATTCTCCCTCCCCTTCCTGGAAATTCTAGTTTCTGGAATTATAGGTTGCACCAAAAGAATGTCAATATTTTCAAGGAATCATCACAGGCATGTTTCAGATAACAAAGGCCGTAAGTATTCAATTTTAAAACCTCAATGGAAGCACAATGTTATAGTTATCTAGCCATGCATAACACATCATGTCACCTCATTTGTTGCCTTCATATTTATCTGCAGTTGGCTCTGTTGGTATTGAACTCTGAAAAGTTAAATTAACACTTTGTATATTTATCATTTCAAAGTATGTTTTATTGATAACTAAGCTTCTCTGAGGAAGGCAATCATTTTTTAAGGTGTTGGCTGATAGTTACTCTGTTTTCCTGATGCTGCTGTTGCCTTGACTGCAGAGACCTCCATAATAAATCTAGGAACCAACAGTCATTAGTTTTTTATTTGTTTATGAAACTATATCAGTAGGGGTGTCTGATGAAAGATGCTTAGAGGTTTTTATTTGGGACCACTGGATACATAAATGTGATGAGTTATATATAATGGCAATACAGCTCGGCAGTGCGTGTTACGCTGGGTATATATTTTGTGCCTACTTTGCATTAAGTTTAATAGAGATGTTAAAAAATATATACTAATCTTACATCAATTTTCATCTATTCTGGCCTAATTTGCTATTGATCTCATCTTGAATTTTGTATTTGCATCTTGCAGTTTATCGTTGTTTCATTGAAAGAGGGCATGTTTAATAATGCTAATGTTCTTTTCCGGACAAAATTCGTGGATGGTGTTTCGACTGTCCAGAGGACTGTTGCATCTAAGCCTAGCAGGTGATTGCCAGAAATGTCCACCCACAAATAGAAAAACAAGTGAAACCACTTTCCAGATGGTTGTGGTGAGCACATTGCAGTTAACTCTTCACTGAATTCCAACAACCGAAGCCAACAATAAAAATTTTAAGAACCGAGAACCCTTTCTCATAGTGTTTGCAGGTTCATACCCTGTTTGTGTAAATTATCGAGTTTGTGTGCTCGAGATGGTCTAGAAATTCTTGCCCATCATAGTTTCTTATATTTAAGATGCAGTTCTTCGTAGTATCTGTAATTACCTAGTGCTTTGTAGACCAGATGCTTCTAGTCTGATTTGAAAGCTTGTATGTTGTGGATTTAAAACCTCGTGTACGTCCCATAAGTGCAAAGGGTGGCTTGCATCAAATCTATTCGATTCCCAGCCGGCCCTTAATATTAAGAACTTGGGTGTAAGCATATCATCAAGTATTAATTGTTTCTGGTTCAAATTGCTTCACTTAATTATTTGCCAATGAACTTATCCCTGATATCCACGAAAAAGAAAAAGGAGGGAGTTAATTCATTGTGGTCATTCTTACCGTAGATTTAACTCACTTGTTGAAATGGAATGGTAGTTTATCAAGTTGAAAAATTAAAGCAGTTCTTTTGTCAGAGAAAACACTGTTTAAGGAGTGCTAATTAGTTGTCGGTAATTTCTGGAAGCATAGGCTGTCTTTGGTGTGTTATCTATTATGACGCAAGTGGCATTTTAAGTTCATATTCTTCACTAAAGTTTTAGGGTTTTGTTTGGATTGGTTTGGTTTTTCTTCGGATTGAGTAAAGCCGCTTTTTTGGAAGTTAAGGAATGTAATAATTGGCTTTGAAGAAGTCAACCCATTCTCCTCTTCATTTTTGATCCATTCATTGCTCGGCCTTTCTTCAGCTGGGCTGGATTTTCAACATCTATGGTCTTCACTTTACATGGGCACTAGATTTTTTAAAAAAGAAAGGGGATTTGTCACTTATGTCAATCCAAATTATAATTTGCATTTAGACATTGACGTGGAATTTACGAGTCTAAGAAACATCGCCTTCTCACCGTGAAAGTCGGGGGTAAGAAGCCAGGAGTTCATGTTTGTTAATCCACTTGTAAGTCATAAGCAAATCATTCCATTAAATAGCATAACCACAGAAAGAAAGAAATTAAAGGCCTTCTGAAGTTATGCCTAATTACCAAGGAAAGTATCTCTCTCTTGCCGTTTTTCTAGCTTTGCTGGTATTGCCATCTTCCTGCAATGGCAATTCAGTGCCAAATAGAGAAGCTAAGGCTTTACTCAAATGGAAAGAAAGCTTCGGTAATCAATCTATTTTCCAGTCATGGGTCACTCCAGCTACTGCCAATGCTACTACTCAAAGTCCATGCAGATGGCGGGGAGTAACCTGCAATAATGCAGGAAATGTAATTGCAATAAATCTTGCATACACGGGTTTGAAAGGTACCATTGAAAACTTAGATTTTTCTTCCTTCCCAAACCTTCTTCGGCTTGATCTTAAAGTAAACCAGCTCACAGGCAAAATACCATCCAACATTGGCTTGCTTTCAAAACTTCAGTTCCTTGATCTTTCCACAAATTCTTTAAACAGCAGGCTTCCTCTTTCTCTTGCCAATCTCACTCTAGTTTATGAGCTTGACATTTCACGAAACAACATAACAGGTGAATTAGACCCGTCTTTATTCCCTGATGCAAATAGTCGATCTAAAACTGGCCTCATGAGTCTCAAAAATTTTCTCCTCCAAGATACTCTGCTTAGTGGCAGAATTCCTAATGAGATTGGCAATTTGAAACATCTGTCTTTACTAGCTCTAGATGGGAGTCATTTCTGTGGCCCTATCCCTCCATCTTTGGGTAATTTGAGCAGTTTAACCGTTCTACAGCTTTCCAGCCTTCAACTTTCAGGAAACATTCCTGTTAGTTTTGGCACTTTACGCAAGTTAAATATTCTTTATTTGCACATAAACCACTTATCCGGTTTTGTACCGGAAGAGTTGGGAAATCTTTCATCATTAGTAGTTCTCCATCTCGCTGAGAACAACTTTAGTGGTAACTTGCCATCAGAAGTTTGTGGAGGTGGAAAGCTTGTCAATTTCAGTGCCTCCTTCAACAATTTCTCAGGTCCTATTCCAAAAAGCCTGAAGAATTGCAAGACCTTGTATAGAGTTCGGCTCGAATATAATCAACTTACAGGAAACATAGCCCAAGATTTTGGTGTGTACCCAAACCTCACATATATTGACTTGAGTTACAACAAACTGAGTGGTGAACTCTCGCCAAATTGGGGAGAATGTCGGAACTTGACACTGCTGAAAGCTGCCGGTAATATGATAGGTGGTAAGATCCCAGATGAGATTACTCAGTTGAACCAATTAATAGAGCTTGACCTTTCTTCCAACCAACTTTCAGGAATCATTCCTACCCAAGTTGGAAAATTATCAAAATTGTTGTCCTTGAGCCTGAAAGATAACAAACTTTCAGGTCCAATACCTGTAGGAATTGGAGGACTATCGAATTTAGAGTCTCTGGACCTCTCCACGAATATGCTCACTGGGCCAATTCCATACCAGTTGGGGGACTGCTCCAAGCTGCGGGATTTACGTTTGAATGAAAACGGCTTGAATAGCACAATTCCATATCAAATTGGTAATCTTGTAGCCTTGCAAGATTTACTTGATTTGAGTTATAATTCACTTTCTGGAGAGATACCATTGCAACTTGGGAAGCTTACAAGTTTGGAAAGCTTAAACCTATCACACAACAATCTCTCCGGTAAAGTTCCTTCTTCATTTAGCAACCTGTGGAGCTTGGTGGCTGTTAATCTCTCATATAATAACTTGGAGGGTCCTCTTCCCAACAGCAACTTCTTTCGGTCAGCTCAACCAGAGGCTTTTAGCAACAACAAAGATCTATGCGGTGAAAGACAAGGTTTAAAACCTTGCAATGCCACATTTACAGAGAACGGTGGAAATGATAAGCGCAAGATCGTTATAATTGTTGTTGCATCTTTGGCAAGTATATCAATCCTTTTAATGGTTTGTATATGGATTTTATCATTTCTCCGTTACAGATCAGTAAATCAGTCCAAAGTTGAAGGTAGAGCAAACAGAGAAAACCTTTTCTCAATATGGCAGTTTAATGGGAAATTCATGTACAAAGACATCCTTGAAGCTACAAAGAATTTCGATGAGACATGCTGCATTGGAGTGGGAGGATTTGCAAAAGTCTATAAAGCGGAAATGCCAGATGGTCAAGTATTTGCTATTAAGAAGTTGAGCTCCCATACTGACATAGAGATGCAGCTGGTGAAAAGTTTCAAGAATGAGGTTGCAGCTCTGACAGAGTTAAGACATCGAAACATCGTAAAACTCTATGGGTTTTGTTCTGAAAGAAGACATTTATTTTTGGTGTATGAGTTCATGGAAAGGGGAAGCTTGGCTAAGATCTTAAGCAATGACGTAGGAGCAAAGGAATTAGATTGGACGAAAAGGATTCAAATTATTAAAGGGGTTGCTCATGCTCTATCTTATATGCATCATGATTGTGTTCCACCAATAATTCATCGAGACATATCGAGCAAGAATGTCTTATTGAGCTCTGAACTTGAGGCCCGTGTATCAGATTTTGGCACTGCAAGGTTGTTGAACCCTGATTCATCCAACTGGACAGAGGTTGCAGGAACTTATGGCTATGTTGCTCCAGGTAACCTGCATGCACTCTTCCTTTCTCTCTTAATCTCTCCGCACTTGATCATTCATGATCTAGGAATTCTAAGCCATACACACTTAATCTTAGCTGATTTGGGGAAATCCACTGTCAAAACTTCCATGCTCATAACAGCAGTAAGTTTTTCAATTTTCTTAAACGAGTTTTTATGTGAGAAATTGGATATTTAGTGGCATATTTATTTGCCAATGAACTGTTCTTAAATCTTTGTTTCGATAACAGCATTGTTTTAAATGGATCATTTATATTTATTCATGAATCTTGTTTTATTTCTAAAACTATATTATAAGGTTGAAAAATTGCTTCTTCAATCAAAGAGTGTTTGTTGCTGCAGAGCTTGCTTACTCTATGGCAGTCACTGAAAAATGCGATGTATATAGTTTTGGTGTTTTGGCACTCGAAGTTCTGACGGGAAACCATCCTGGGGAACTTATATCATATCTACATTCATCCCCTGATCAGAGAATCGGCTTGGCTGATGTGTTAGATCCCCGCCTCTCTTCTCCTGTGGAACAACAATCTGAAGATGGATTATCTTTCATGTTAAATCTTGCAATTTTATGTTTTAATCCCAATCCCCAATCTCGACCAACTATGCGTAGTGTATCTCAGCAGCTTGAAGTAGGTTGCTTCTGGTAGAGATGGAACTCGACTGCAAGTATCTTCTAAGCTATAAACAAGTGAATTAAACTCCCTCATGCTCAGCTTATTGTTGTTTTTTTTTCATTTTTTAACTCTTGCATCCAAGCTTATGCTTATTTTGCTATTTTCGTTGTGCTCAAATTAAGTATCCTTTGAATGTATCAAGTATCTATGTAGCCTTGGACAATTTATTTTGTTATATTTTTATTTTCGTAGAAAGGAGAGAAGAAAAAAATTTTGAACCTGAATATTAATTCAAATGGTTTATTAACTCTTTCAAAAGGTGAATTCAAAAAAAATTGAAGTCTTGCAAATACTACTTTTCTAATTCTAAGTATTATCCGACTTCGTACCAAAATAATATAAAAAAAAGGGTGAACATAAAATTTTCTAAGATCATAATTTGTTTTCAATTATATGAATTGTACTTTGTAAATGTAACAAGAGTTTTGATAAAATAAAAATAGGCATTCCAATGATGGGATTATTTTTTGTTTAATAAAAATTAAAGAGATTTGAAGCCAATTTTTTAAATGAAGATAGACGTAACTACTATTCAACCAAATACTCAAATATTGAATTTTTGGTTTTGCTTTAGAAAGTAGGGATGGAGAGGTCTTCAAGTACCATAATTCGAAACCCTTTTAACTGCAAAGTTATTTGGCTTCTATAAGATTCCATGCACGGCTGTGTCCCATAGATGGTAGTAAAGAAACTTTGAGTCCAGTGGAAATCTAACATGTTTCACTAGGCAAAGTTTGTTCTTCTTTACTAGGTTACCTTGGTTGCCTGTTGTTTGATTCATTGGTATATTTCGCATAGCTGTGAGAGGCTCCGGCTTCCTGTTGAATAATGTCATTTTTAAGGGTAAGGTACTGAAAGCTAAGCTTCGCAACTTGGAAAGAGTTTGGAAGCTTCGATGGATCCCACATTAATTTCTAGAGATACTGTATTTTGTGGGGTAGAGTGAGCTTGAGATACTGTATTTTGTGGCGTAGAGTGAGCTCTCTGGAAGTTGCCCAAACTGTAGGGACCTGGAAGCCCAAATAAACGGCTAAGCTTGGATTATGTGAATTTGGCAATTTTCCAAAAAGTCCAAATTGTTTGATCATCTTCATCTGCAGCGATTTTAGTGGTCTTGGCTTCCCATTTTTATCAACGAGAGGGCAAAAGTCAGCAATTGAAGCTGATGCAGTGGTGCACTGGACCAGAGCCTTCCTCTGACTTTTTTCCTACTAGCTAGCCACTGCTAGATATTCAATCATTAAGCCATTGTTCTTCTATTGAGACAAAATTAGTCAAGCCCAGTGGCAACTGGCAAGGCGACGATCGCGTTATCTCAATCTCACCTAGGGATCTCGTTTACACGTTAAACATGGATTAAGGTCCACAAATCGAAAGTGATGAAAAATAATCGTCAAAGTTAGAAAACATGTCGACAACCCCGTGAAATTTTGTTAAACAGCTTAAGGATTGTATGGAGCAAGTTGGTTTTCATGATTATAACCTAGACCAGCAAAAGCATTGCGATTTCAAAGTCACCTAAAAGGGACAGTTCGGACGCGTCAATTGTCTAATGTAATTAGCTTCCAAGTCTTCTAGTGCAAGGCCCCCTAATTTTGGTAGTAAAATGAGAGGAAATTTGGTCGGCATTAGGTGCATGGGTATGGGCCTATATATATACTGCGGTACAAACATCCGTTCCTGCTCTACCAAGAAATCAAATGGCTCCCAAGAAGCTTTTATTACTCTTCCAGCTTCTCTTGATCGTTAGTATTCTCCTTCTAGCCTCAGCCATGGCGTCAAGGAACATCGAAAGGACTGCCACGACTTGTAAGCATACTGGCCTACCCTAGCTACCTTCTTCTTTGGTTCATTTGGCCTAAAATTTTATTACTCCTATCTTATTTGTTGGATTTTTTTTTTGATATTTTTTGTTTTTCTTGTTGCCGATGTTACAGATGAGAAAGCTGCAAGGGAGCAGATCTATCAACCCCAAAATGAGGACAATCCTTGGGGGCACGGTTATATTAATAGCCCATAATCTGCTGCTAAGAATGATTAAAAATAATCTTAGTATCAAGTGAATAAAAATGGGGAGCTGAGCTACTTCATTTAGCTTCTACATTTGCCCTCCGCTTAAACTTCTAGCTAATGGCTTCTTGGTTCAGTACTTTAGTTGCTTACGGCGGTATAAATATAGATATATGTGTAATAATTTGCTTAGATGTTACTGCAATACTAATCTTGAAGCTAGCTAGATAGCTAGCTCATCAGAGTATTTGTGTACCATAGAACCTGGATAATCTTAAGAGCTTGTTATCTACTTCTTTATACTAGATGTGATAAAAATGTCATTTAATGAATAAATTAGTGTTAAATGCACTATTTCTTTTTTACTCTAAAAATATATAGAGAATATGCATAAAAGTATATATTAAAGTGAAATCAAATATAAATCATCATCGATAAGAAATTATTAACGTTGAAGATATGTAATTTTGATTAAGAATTTTGGTTGCTAGGATAGTGATTATTTGCCATTTGTTTAATAATTGTATGGGACTGTGTTCGGCTCTTTAAAATTGTTGCTGGGATCAGTTGGGTCTTTTGATTTTGTTTTTTGAGTATATAATTGAGTTTTCAGGGTCAATATTTATAGTTTTATTGAGTTTAATTTAATCAAACTCAAATAATTTAAATAAATTATGAGATGAGTAAGAACATGAAAAATAAAATTCAATCAACTTCAAATTTTTATCAAATCAAGCTGAATCTGAATATGACAATGCATTAATTTGATTAGACTCTATTACAACTTTAATTAATAATACAGTGAATCATATTTCTTGTAATATCGAAAAAAATAAGGTGATATATATATGTAATAATTGAATATGATGGTAATTTTTTTTATAATAATAAATTTATAAATAAATAATTTTCAAAATTTAAAAAATATTAATTATTATTTAATTAAAATAACATGACATTTTTGAATTGATACTATGTACCATGCAATTAAAAATTAATCCACCTTAATCTTTCAAGTTATAGCCAAAATGTACAGTCATTCAAAACAATAAAATTTTAATTCTATTATTAATTAACTTTGAAATTGATTTTAAATAAAAACGTAGATTATAAACAGTGCTTTGGCAGACTCGGAGCATGTTAGGTCTGAAATACTGGTAAGTTCTTCGCTTCTGCTTAACATATTCTTCCAAGAATGCTGCTTGTAATGCATGATTTCAGGTCAGGACTTTAGCATAGGTTTGATAGAAGAGTTATGTGGAAATCCAATCTTCCAAGAATGCTGCTTTTAGTATATGATTTCAGGTCAGGACTTTAGCATAGTTTGATAGAGGAGTTATGTGGAAATCCAGCCTCTATTGAGGAGATTCAGAATAAAAGTTTGTTCTTGTAACCAAGGCTAGGTTTCCGAGGTATTCATAATAACTCCTGCTTGAGTTTTGCTTTAGCTTTTAATCATACCATAACTGATTATATGCCTGCTAATTTAAAATTAAGGAGTCAATTTCTTTGTCCCACTTTCATTTCTTGTTTTTGTTTTGAAGGAATTTGGATATATAAGTTCCATAACTACAACGAAAATGACTTTGATTCCCTTCTGGTGGAGAGGGAGAAGGAGAGGGAGACTAGCATGCCTGATATTATGAGAGAAGTGGGATATAGATGTACTATATATTGAGTCTACACATTGTAAAGAGGTGTTGTCAAATTTCTGACCTTAATTTGAATGAAGTTGCTCTGTCTAGAATACTTAGCACTGTTGTCCGTACCTATATATTCTGGCCAATTTTCACATTCGATATTCTGCTCTGCAATTGGTCGCAGTGCTGCATGCGTTAGATCTATCATGCCCAGACTCTTGGCATGCACGTGGACATTTTGGAGGATTCAGTTAACCAGCTTGTAAGTCCCATTGAATCTTGATTCATCTTCTTTACCTTGTTCCACAGTTGATTAAATATTTTGATCTCCTGGAATTAACTGGAAAATTGTCATGGAATATCTGTATCATGAGGATTTTTACATTCCTGACAGCCAGGCGTTTTCCTTTTTCATATCAATTTATGCATGTGCATGTCAGGTACCATAGTTTAGCACAGTTGTTCAATTTAATTAGTTTGTTTAGTGTTTTATGGAGCTATATATACTTAATCATTGCAAATAAAAATGCAGGTTCCTTTCCCACTCCATGCTGTATGCGTTTCTGCCCGAAAGAATGTTGATGGTCAATTATCTTTTCGACGATTGAGATATTTACCTTTGAGCATTCTGGCAGGAAACAAGTATGGCACGCTGCTCATCAATGTTTAATCTTTTTCCTTGCATTGTACCTCTTACTTTCTTTTTCCAGTTTGGCTTAATTAAATGTATGTTCTTTTACCTGAGGCATATGTTGAAGCGTGTGATCACCACGAGCCTTCTCCCATACATGGAAATCGTGCGGGGTTATCCCTTGGCCTTCTTGATGTGTTGTGTCATTTAGCTGAGAGGGGTTATGCCAATATCGTACGAGCAATGATTGAGAACCCTCTCAAGCATTGCCCTCAAGTTTTACCGCTTGGAATCAAATTAACTTATCTATTCTTGTAGAGACTGCTTATAACCTCCTTCAACATGATGACTCTTCCACCATTTTCCCCATGGGAAGGTCGATTTTTCATCTTTGGTATTCTAATTCCAAGTTTGTTGCATGTGGTTTCATGGAAATGATTAAAGCTGATCGAGGCAGCATAGGTAGAACGTTAGCAATTTGTGATGAATAGAAGGTAATTAAAACTCAATCTATTGAAGGATCAATTGCTGTTAGTAATGCAACTGTTGATGTATTTTTTTTTATTCTTTTTCCTCACTTTTCCCTTTTTCCCTTTATTTTCATTCACTCGTTCTAGTACCGAACGTAGTATAAAAGTTAATAATGTCCATTAAGTTACATCTAAACACTTGGGTTGGTTGAGATTAATTAGGCCGCTGGGGTGAGCAGAAGAAATATATATGTGGTATAGTTAAGGAGCACCGCACTTTAATTTCTATACAAAAGAAGGAAAGAAAGAGGAATCTTCCCCATATATATTATATACATAAGCAGAAAGACCTAAATTCCCCAGATTGTAAGTCTAAATTAATTAATTAATTGATTAATATTATATAAAAGGAAGCAAAATTAATGATTGTACCGGTTAATGTGGTGGTACCGGCTGACATTGTAATATCCCAGTGATTCAATTCCTAGGGACGTGCAACATAGATCCTAATTCACAGATTAGAGATTAAAATAAAATCGAAATAAAAGATTATAAATCACGGATGGGATTTATCCTAAATATTTTGTGTTCTAATTTCTTGTATTAATTACTTGTTTAACAAATGTAACTCTAACTAACTAGTGTATTTGTTCGATTTACGTGTCAAGTATTGAACTGGGGAGCTGTTCCAAAGAAAAAAAAAAAGGGAAGGCATATGGATGATCTGGCCACATGAATGGAGGCGAGAAGGATCGTTTGAGATACTGGATTTTGTTTTGGTCGGTCAAAACAGAAAATATTTATCATTTTTCTGAAGGAGAATGAAACAAACATTGCACAGCAAGGAACATCAATTTTCGACTGTCCTCCCTTTGACTTCTGAATAAGTCAACTAGAGAGGCATCACCAAAAAAAAAAAAAAAAAGAAAAAAAGAAAAGGAAGCAAATGCTCAGCAGTCACCATTCACCTATTTGTCAACCCAATGTATAAAAAATTTGCATTGACTTAAACATTAGTTCTTTTGATTAATTGGAAAGAAAGATATATTTGACAAATTTACATAGCATCAAAATATCATCAAAATACTAACATTTTATGTAATATATATTTTATATATTATAAAAGTCAACAAACTTCATTAAAACAGCTAATTTAATTTGTACCTTCTCATCTTCTCAATATATCTATGAGTAATTGTCATAACATCTGTGCAATTAACCTTCATTGTTTTAACTCTCTAACAAAGAGCTCTTCAAAAACTAATTATTATCCCATTTCAACTACTTTGTTTGTTGCTTTCAATTCTTAACCAAAAGTATATATATTCTTAATTTTATTTAACATCAATCGAATTTTTGCATAAAATTAGATATTAATTGCATGATGAGATGATGAACAAAAATAGCTGTAAGTTTTACATAAAATATTACTTGGGCGGTTCATTGGCATTTGTTTCTCTATCTCTGAATATAAGATATTAGTTTTAAGTAAAGGATACTGTCATCTAAGAAAGGGAGGATTGAGGCATCTGATAAAATCCCAAAGGACACGGAAGATCCCATGCTTCGATATCAAAAATAATCCTCAATTATTATTAAACCCCACTATCATTATGCATATTTCACTAGCTCAGATTCATATTTTTTTTGTTCTGAGTACATTCCATGTGAAGAAATGTCCTGGAAAACAGTTAATGATACAGTTGACTTTTCCAAGTGTATATACATGGGGATACGGGAGAGTCTGAGACCCAAACTTATACTTTATGTGTTTTGGTGCTGTAGAGCCAAAAAGAACAGAACAAGAGAAAGAGAGAGAGTGCGAGAATAATAATAAAATGAGGAGCGATGAAGTGCGTTTGAATTGTGGGATAACGATTCCAGTGATTGGATTAGGTACCTATTCTTTTAACAATGATAGGGAGACAACGGAGCAAGCCATCCATATGGCCCTCAAGGTACATCTCCGTACACACCCTCCTTGTACAGCTTTCTCTATGGTTGTTTTTTTTTTTTTTTTTTTTTTTTTCAAAAACACAGAAAAAATCATGTTTCTTTGGCATTCTACCGGAGATCATCTGTTCAACCTAATAATCCATGATAGTGGAAGGAGTATTATGCCAAAGGCCCTTTCGTCAGTGTGTTCATTGAAAAACATCAGAGTTGAATGAATTCCAGTTCATGCAGCATATATTTCTTGGCTCACACTGATGGGATACCCTCCTCACTGATTATAATTGTGTTTTTATCCACTGACCTAACATGTTTTAATGGATGTATGCATGCATGTGTGTTTTTCTATATTTGATTTATTTTAACATGAGAAATGCTGATAGGAATATGGGATGTTTGGTTGCAGATGGGATACAGGCATTTTGATACAGCAAAAATATACGGTTCGGAGCCAGCCGTTGGAAATGCTTTAAGAATGGCAATTGAGGATCAAATCATCCGAAGGGAAGATGTTTTTGTGACATCTAAACTATGGAGCGCTGATCACCATGATCCTGTTTCAGCACTCAAACAGACTATGCGGTAATTAAACTATACAAAAACGAGCCAACCACTAGCCAAAAGCTACAGAAAACTACCTGGAAAATGATAAAGATTAAAACTGGAAAATATACTTGTTATATATATATATATATATGGTCAAGTGCCTTTTTTTTTTTTTAATAAAATCTTTGGTGGTAGTTTTATCATTTGTCAGTGTCTAAACATAGAAATCTTCATTTATGGCTCACAGCCTACTATCACTTGAAATTCGTGAGTGTAGAGCATTTTGCAGCTTTCAAAGCATAAATTGCCTTGATTTACCAAGATATCAGGGAACTCTTTTAATATCACAGGATAATAAAATGGATGAGTTCAACAAGTTGTTGGTAATACGCAAATTAATTAGAATTACTAAGTTATATGAGTTGGGAAATTCTGAATTTTTATTCACATTTTATGATACTATATAATTTAACTCTTGTAGGAACCTGGGGATGGAGTTTGTGGACATGTACTTGGTGCATTGGCCAGTGAATCTGAAGCCTTGGGCTTGCAATGCTGTGCCAAAGGAAGAAGACTTTGAAAAGGAATTAGACATGGAGACCACATGGGCAGGGATGCAGAAATGCTTAGACATGAGCTTGTGTAGGTGTATTGGGGTTAGCAATTTCTCGAGCAAGAAGGTTGAACGCTTGTTAGATTTTGCTTCTGTGCCCCCTGCTGTTAATCAGGTATAATATATATGTCTCTAAAGCAAAAAAAAAAAAAAAAAAAAAAAGGGCCACAAGGATATATAGCAGAATGACTAGTAGATTGTTATTTAGTTGATGGGGCAGAAGCCTAAAAAAGAAGTGGCAAAAGTAGAATAAGTCTGAGTCGTCTGTTGTCGTAACAGACGTCAATCCAGGTTTGAAATGAACTGATCATTCATTTAGAACTGCTAGTAGTAACATGGATAAAACTTACATAAAATTAGGTGCAATTTATGAAATTTTTTATTAAAAATAAGTAAATAAAAGTTTTAATAAAAAAATCAAACTGATAAATAATAGAGTTTAAAGTAAAAATTAATAATATGTAAAAAATTATTTATAATTATTTATAATTTAAATTTGATCGATATTTATTCAATAATAAAAATTTTATCAATATTTTTATTAAAAATATCTATTTAATAAATATATCAAAGTTTATTAAATTTTTTTTAAATTTTATATATTAAATTTATATGATGAGATCTTTTAATTTTAATTTTTATTTATTCATTTTTAATAAAAAGTTTTATGAACTCTCCTTATCAAATTTTATGTAAGCTTTTTCCCGGTAACATTAACTCCTTCGAACCTTGTTCTCCATGAGCACGAAAAATAATAGAAAAACAAGCCCTCTCCCTCAGTTAAATTGCCCTGAGTTATGTTCTAAGTTGGCAAGCAAGATGGGCATGAGAAAGCGTGTGTCCAGAGACATTAAATATAGATATAATAAAAGTAAACTGAAAACCAATAAAGAAAGAAGATTAGACATCTTAGCTTAGCTAAATGAAGCCGACGTGTTTAAGGTTTGTTGCCAATAGCCAAGTCATCATGATTAAATTGTTGATGGTGATTAAATTTTGATGGTGGGTAAAGGTGGAAATGCATCCAATGTGGAGGCAAAGAAAGCTTCGAGAAATCTGCGCTGACCACAACATCCACGTGAGTGCTTATTCACCGCTAGGAGGACCTGGGAATGCATGGGGATCCACGGCTGTGGTTGAAAATCCGCTCATCAAATCCATATCTCTCAAACATAAAGCAACTCCAGCTCAGGTAATAATATATATATCATATTTCATTCTGCTTTCTACGGACCTTCACCGAATAAAATTAGCAGTTGGAATCCTATTACTTAAACTCCAAGTTGCAACTCCGTTGGTAACATAATTTAGTGATGAATTTAAGGTTGCTCTAAAGTGGGGATTATCGAGGGGAGCAAGCGTGATCGTGAAGAGTTTCAATCCGGATAGATTGAAGGAGAACATGACATCCTTCAACCTGAAATTGGATGATGAAGATATGCTTGAGATTGACAAGTTGGAGGAAAGGAAAATCATGAGAGGAGAGTTTCTTGTTAATGATACAACTAGCCCATACAAGACTCTTGAAGATCTATGGGACTACGAAATTTGATGGGGTCAACTCAACAAAGTTGTACATTTGCAATTTGTAAATTTCAACACCCCCTTTACCTCCCTTCTCTGTTTTATCTTCTACTATAAGTTAGCAATGGTCTCCCTCAAATATATTGTAATATTACATCTCGTGTGTTATCCCCTTTAATTTTTTTTTTCTAAAATTTTAGTCAAGAATAAAATAGCTCCTTGGAGAAATTTTATTAGCAATCCCAGCGCCATCAGTAGCTGTCACTCGGTAGAACTAACATGTCATGAACTGAGTTTATGCTTAGACATGAAATACACCAAAAGATATACCCCCTAACCATATTGACTCTATGCAATCACACATGCCTAAATTTCATCCGATTTCAGGGTTGAATTCACTTGTAACCTGACATAGGAGTTTAACGGCCAACTCGTGAGCTGTCATCCTGATAAAACTATGGTTGCATCCAATTGTACCCCAAAAGGTCAAAAAAAAAGTAAGAAATAGCAAGTATATAAATACAGCGATTTAAGCACATTAGACAATCACTTGAAATGCATTTGAGTTCCTTTTGTAAATACTAGTAGGATGATAATTTCCACGACCTACTAGCTCCAAGTTTTAAATTGGTGCATCACAAAAAGTACATTACAGGATTTGCCAGAACGAGGAGGTTGAGCATTTGGTTCGCCTGCAATAAATTTGTTGTCAGGGAGACCAATCTTCTCCAATACTCCATTATCCAATACATTCCATTCCGGCCTAGTACTTGCAAGAATCTTCTTTAATTTGATTTCTTAAATTGAATCGCAGAAAGTTCAGCAGCTTAATCCGTGAAGTTGCTCTCAGCATCCATAATATCTCATTCCTTCATCCCAGCTCCGAACAGATCATCATGAGGATTATTAAGAAAAGGAAGAACAGAAAACAGGCATAAAATCATATAAAACAGCTCAAACAGAAGGCAGCAGATTTGGCCATGAAAAAAATCAGCTTTGGCCAAGAAACAAAGTAACTAGTGTTTTAATCATCATAAAATTGAGGCAGGTGCCAAGGACAGTAAGATTCTCTATCTTCTTCCTCCTTATTCTTTTTTTTCTTTTCTTTCTCAGCATCACATCTTTCTATATATATATATATATATATATATATATATCCGTTTAGACCTAACTGAAACAATATTCTTGTTTAACATAAATTTTTATATTTAGATACACTTTAAAATGCGTTATCTAAGCTGCACAAATTTCAATATTATTTAAGGTGACAATCGTACCTGTGATTGCTCAAACTAACAACTGCATGTAGCCTATTTTTCAGCGGACCGCCTACCATTTTCATTGGACACCGAGGAAATGCCTTGCTCAATGCACTAGAGAAAGCATTATCAATTAGAGAATATAGCACATCAATTTTTGTTGATCAAGATATATAGGAAAGGCACCTAGTGCTGATATTATGAAAGATTATTTCAAGATACTGTATGACTAGCTATGGTAGTAGATGCTTGTTAATGACACCCAACTTGGGAGGAAAGGTGAATATGAAATACAAGAAAGAGGGGACGGGGTAAGAAAGCGTGAGATGAAAGGATAAATAATTGGAATTTTGGAAGTTCACAAACTTGAACTCCCCTCCTTCCCCCACCCCCACCAAAAAAGTCCAGTAATTCAAGATTCTAGCCCATTCCCCTTAAATAATTATGCACCAACAATCTTCAAGAAGAGATATTAGAACCCACAAGCTGCTATTAGATCACATACTATTTCAAACAAAAATGATAAATTACCATAAATGAACCACCAACTAGATGATACTAGCTATATAGAACAACAATGAGAGAAAAGAACAATGCCAGCAGCAGATATTTCTAACCAGCAAAACAATTTTGTCAGGTACAAGAAACAAGGAAAAGAGAAGAGAAGGAACAAACAGAGAAAAAGAAAATAAAATACGAAAAAAAGTATATTGAAGTGGCTGGTCCATGACCCAATCAACATCCTAAAGGATTCAAGTGAATTGAAAAACCCATTCACAGTTTTTCTCTCTAAGCCAATCAGAAAGAGCTATATAGACCCTCTTCTTCATGTTCAAAGAACCACAAAGTATTGCAAAGTAAAAGCCCAACCAGCAAACCTAATATGCGACCACCCCACTCCTCCTTCCCATAAAAGATAGACGATCACACTCCACTCAGACCAATCACATAAATGATGGGAGTTGAACCCTGGTGACAACCTTGTGGTGGTAAAACAGCTTGCAATGAAAATAAATCATAAAATAGAAGTTTTAACTGAGACTTAATATGAACTGTTTCCTTTTTTGGATATTTAGCTTATTAACAAATTCGACTGAGAAAGTTTATGAATGTTAAAAACTCATCTCAAGCTTTAACGGTACCAAAATTTCTTGCCTAGTATCTTCAACAACTATACTGTGTTTTTTCAAATGACAAAACCTGGTGCAAAGCATAAATATCCGCTATATACAAACTTATTGCACAATAGTAATCTCACTGTCAATATAAATAAGAGAAAACTAAGAGAAAACAACTTTTAATCTATTTTCATAGCTTAAATGGAGAATCAAGTTTCATATTTGTCTCAATTTCCGACTAAAAAAATCCTTTAAATCTAGAGCCAAATGAAATCATAATGAAGTACCAATAATGTGTTTGACTGCAACATGGAAAATCATCCATGTTTACCAGGTTGAAGAAGCTGTCAGATGGCATATCAGTTCTAGCTTGTATTATTAACAATTAGATAACAAGTATACCTGAAGAAGATATCCATGCAGCCAATCCAATGTCTGTGGAAATGTCGTCGCTGATACACTGACAACTGTTAAACCCTGTTCCAAGGGACAAAGATGCATGGAAAAAACAGAAAAAAAAGAAAGTTCAACAACACTTCAATTTTCAAACAACCAACCACACAAAAATTAGAATTGAGTCAAATACACCTCTAAAATTATGAAAAGTCGGGATAGAAAATCCCTTTTGGTTTGCTTCCTCTTAAAACTCATTACTCCTAACTCTTCATACCATACTAAAAATTTAAAATACCTAAAATGATGGGGCAACCCAAGAGCTTTGAAGCATAATAATACAACATCAGATGGTAGCACCAACAACAGTAAATCCATGAGATTATCTTGGAGAATGCTAGATAAGACAATCAAGAAGCCCCCTTTATAAATACCGATGGACATCTTAAAAATGGCCCACTTTCTTTACCAGCAATCTAAGAGCATGTTCACCCAAAATATGATGCATATAATGCTTATACCTTCATACCCCACACAATCATAACTGACTATAGTTTCCAACTAATTTTATATCAAATCTAAGATACCTTACTACGATGTTATATTGCAATAGACTTGCTACATATTAACTTTTAATAGAAAATAACACTGGACACGCAAGATGAGGATAGACAAATGTTCAGCCTAACAACCAATAGAAACAGCCATGAAATGGCATACCTGTGACTTGAAAGAGCAAAGATAGTCTTGAATGGTCTTCAAGTTGGTTATTAGACTATCTGTATCCTGTAATAAAAAATAAAAAACTGAAATTTGACTATTGTTATAAATTCACCACACAATGAAGCAGAATAATCAATCAAATAACAAACTGAAATTTGATTTTTGTTATAAATTCACCACACAATGAAGCAGAAAAGTCAATCAAGTAAATAGTTTACCAAAGGAATAAAAAATGGAAACATCACTGAAGAAGAAAAGGAATTGAGAATGTGCAAAAGAAAAAACAAGGTATCAGCGTGCCCACTTTCGACCAGAAACAATGACGCAAAAGTTTTGCACACATGGACATGGCCGTGAGGCATCATCTCACGCCTTAGGTACCTCATTAGGCTGTCCTATTTGACAAAGGTATCAGCATCACAACACCTCTCCAGCTTAAGAGAATTCAGGACAAATTTACCATGAGCTAAAAATTAAGTAATTTTTTTCATAGTGAAATAAAAGGAGTGAAAAACTGCCAATACTGATACAAGGCAACTTATGATTATAACTGAACTTGAGATGTCATAATGCTCTAGGCCAGCTAAAGTAAAGCTTTAAAAAAACTACTCAAAGATTCTAATATTGACAACAAAGCATCCATATTCAAGGGAAGAAAATACATGAATATGACTGTTTTCAACCACATTTCCAGGTTCCACTTTCCAAACACCAAAAAAGCCTGCGGTTACTCTATAGACTATATTCATAGAATCATACTGTATAACTCAGTGCTTAACCAAAGTCCTCAGTTTGAGAACAACTACTAACATTCAAGATTGAGAAAGAACACTTCAAATCAACCTAGCTATCCGATTAGAGATTCTTCAAATACCATGCAATGCCCCACCAAACTTTTTGTCAAATGTATTATCTTTCTGCTATGTTGATAGCTACTTAACCTTTAGCTTGAGCAATGAGTTTGTAATGGAATGAGAACCCTGAATTGTTATTAATACCTGGACTAGACATTTACCACTTAATGCCCTAGTAGTGATCCTCTCCTCTAATAATGCCTGCATATAGAAGAAATTGGTTAAAATTTAGAAAATCATGCAAGATTGACAAAAGAGACATTACAAGGGAACAGGCGAAATACAATCCTAATTAAAGGAAGCCACCTTCATACTATCAAGAATAACTTTACATGAACCTGATTACATGTTTTTAGCATCAAGAACAAAATGTAGCAGTAACTTAGTTTAGACTAATGCCAGGATATAACAGTCAAAACAACCCATCTGTTTATAAATTTACATTTAGAATAGCCTATCCACCAAATGACATTTTCACACACAAGAATAGCGGAAACTAAACTCCATGCTCCACTAAGTAAACCATCTGTATGCCTGAGAATTCAAAAGCCTTAAGAGGGACTTTTCTCTATAGACAAATAAAGGTTTCTAATAGTACTAGTTCTATAAAAAGAGAAAGATTTAGAAAGGGAAATCAAAACCAACACCAACATTTGGGGCTTTGCTAAATATGAATTTGAATTAGTGTCTCCTCCACATGCTCAGTTTAGCAATTTAAACTCACCAACAAGCTTCTCATGTACTTTACTAGTTAAAGCTGGATAGAAAAAAGTGAAAGCAACCATACCTTATGATCAAATTCTGCCATCTTGAGCACTATGGGTATAATTATTGGTTCAGGACCAGATTTTTCTTTTCTAGTGGTTCTTTCATTTACTTCTGGTACCTCAGCAGTTTCACCTGCATGAACACAAACACTGTTAATAAACTGTCATATTGCACCCTCAATTAGCCTCTAATACTGACACATGCAAATGAAACAATGCTTATAAAATGGAGCTAGATGCTATACCAAATACAAAGAATTTAGAGCAGAAATCTACCTTTACTGTCAGAAGCAGTTGCCAGAGCAATGGACTCAAGCGATTCCAAAACTTTATTCACCTGGTCAGTAGACACACCTTCACCCAAATGCACAAGATGGTTTTGGCTATTTTCTGCATTACTTCCAGGTGTACTTCTGCAATTATTTTCCAGTTGCAGTGCAGAATTATCATCTGATGCCACAGACAATGGGGTCGATTGATGCCCTTCAGGCACAGAGGTTGGAGTTTTATGCTCATCATCCATTAAATAAATGCTTGGGTCCAAATGTATTCCCTGTTATTGTCATAAGAAACAAGGAAAACTCACTAACTTCAAAGTGACACACATTAAGGTGAACAAGAACATGCCAATGCTTCCCGATCAAATGCGATGACAAGGTGGAAAAAAATAATACAATACTTAAGCAGATTATAACCTTTCCTCAATGTTCGCAGCCAAGGAAAGAACAGATATAAAAGGTATCTTCAGAAATAACAGCTATCTCCAGGGTAAAATGGTAGCAGATCCAACCTCAAACTTCATCCCTATGAACATATCATGTGTGTTCCAAGACATATAGCCATGTTCCTCTAGAACAAACTATAGCTAGATCAAGTTATTTTAACTATCACATTAATCCAATCACGGACAAGAATAACCATGAAGATCAACAGATACCTAAGAATGGAAGTTCGAGTTTGAGCCAAAATAGCTGAAAATACAATAGAAGCTACAAGTACTGAAAATGTTCACGAGTACAATCTATTCATTCATGGAAAGAAGTCCATAACCTGCTAGACTCCATGCTTATTTTAATGTGCAAAATCAGAAATTTATGTGTCACACCCTTTCATGACCAATGCTACAAAAGCAGACAACACCTGAGACTCTACTTCCCAGCAAAATCATACAACCTTGTAAAACTCTTTGATTTTATTTTCGACATAGCACCAAAATATCTTATTAAAGTAAAGGAATCAATGCAAAGAAATAATTAATATGAACCACAAGCACTCAAAACATAATGCACTCTACAGGCATGCACATATCACAATATTAATTCTTGTGCTGATAAGGGTAAAATGGCATCAACATTCACCGCAAAGATAAAAAAGAGAGGAATATGCAGGAAGGGCTCAAGGATGGACAGTGTGAAGGATATCGGCAAAAGAAAGTAGTCAGCAATCTAATGTCAAGCCATACCTCGATTATAATTGGTTTTCCATCTTTCATTGCTTTTTTTAGATCCCCATTCAACCCTAGGAACCAAACAACACAACACAAAATCAATGACGAATATACCTTTAGAGTACAATAATTAATCTAGGAAGACAGAAAACATATGACATGCTATGTTGATGTTACATGTCTCTAGGGAATCTCCTGATTTTACATTGATAAAAGAAAGAACAAAATTTCATCATAGCTAAATGGAAATTTTAGAACTACCTTTACGAACTATCCTGCATTCTCGGCAAAATTCAGTAATTAACTCCTCGGAGGAGCTGAAATCCCGTTCCCACACAGGAGTGGATGCCAATGGTGCACTGAAACAAATAAGAGAACTAAGCCTTTTTTTTTTTTTTGCACCATACAAATATATTAAGCAACATACAATCTGTTAAAAGCAAGGATGTCAGGCCAATCAGCTGCACAAGATGAATTTTCTAATGAGGACAATATGCTTTTCCTACGACACATGGATTGAGAGCAACAACGAAAATTAAGGAAATAATAACAATAAAGGTTTAAATCCAATGCATTATTCAATATAAGGTAGTGCCTTTTCTTCTACTCTACCTTTGTCTGGAGTAGCAAGCGATTAGGGAAATAAACTTCTAATCTTGTAACCAATATATAGTACTTCTCAATTTGGAAAACCACAAAGACCCATTCTGAATCAAAAGCTCAACATCTTCCCACCATGCATAAAACAAATCCCAACTGATAACATATAACTAGAACAACCAATTACTGGTTATGCCAACTGTCATCCTTTAGATGAATCCAGAAAATGCCTTACTGATAATCATCGTTTTATTTAATTTGGAGCACTGATTTGATATGATCAGAAATTTTCTACATTGGAATAGAAAGGCGTACAATATAAGAAGAGAAGAAAAATAAATATATTATAGACGTACTCGGTTGATGTTCGTAGCAATTCATAAACCATATCTGTCTGTAACAATAGAAAATAGAAATGTAAATGCACCAGCAAACATAAAAACAGAGTGACACATCAAGGAAATATGAAAGAAGAAAATGTAAAAAATTTCAGTAGAAAACAGATTGCTAAACCTGTAAGACGTTTGGCAAGTTTAGCCTTTGTGCAAGTTGTGTAGCTATTGTAGACTTCCCAACACAGGCAGTTCCACAAACAAGAATCACCAAAGGAACCCTTTGATGGTGAAATCTGAAAGTAAGAAACAAGAAAAACAGTATTGGCAAAATGAAGCAACACTTAGAAGTTTAGATATTTTTGCTCTCCTACTTCAAGTCGAGAGCAAGTAATGAGTCAACAATAAATGCTCCATGCATTATTGTGTCTTTATGATCATTAAATCAGGGTGAAGACATGAACCGAACCCAGACCTACAATACCAGCAAATTATCTAGTACAACAAAATGAAGATAGTTACACAAAAAGGGGGAAAAACTATCGTTATACAAAAAGAAAAAGCAACCACCGTTTCACACAGTTAGCACACTTTGTAGAGGTGAATTAGCTTTGATGCTGCTAAACATGTGATAAAGAAGTTCAAATGAAAATTTGATTCCAGAATTAGCACCATTAAATTGTTTGGCATCATCTTGAAAAGCCAACTGACCTGGTCATCATCTTGTACCGGTTTATGTACTCTTCCCCATAACCTCGCCTCTCCATTAGCTGCACAAAGAGTTTGATTACAAAGTTCCAAAAACTACATTCAATATCCAAAAAGTCTGAAAATGCTCTCCACTCTACTATTTCATCCATGTTACAAATTCACAAATGTTATGAAGACATACCTTAAAAAGATTAGCTTCCAAATCAGACTGCGAGCTGAATAAGGATTCGACGAATAGAACATTAATAAGAAAATCGTACTGCTGATATAAATCACGAAATTGAAACTAAAATCAAAACAGAAAGAGAAAGGAATCATACACATCCAAAAGGCTGTTGTCTATAAGCAGCTTCTTGAGCTCAAGAGCTATTTTAATTGCTACATGATTTGGAATCTGAAACCGCCCACGTCATAGCGATAAAAAAAAAAAAAAACCAAAACATAATATAGTAATAACCACAAATATAAAAAGTGAAGAAAATTAAGAAATTCAAGCAAGCATATCCTAAGAAAAATTTTAAAATAAAATAAAAAAACCGAAAAAGAATTGAATTCAGACCTTTGTGACAGTTAACATTCTGCTAAGCAAAAACCTAGATAAAACATAATAGTGATCGGCATTATCACCCAACCAGACCTTCACCTACAAAGCCAAAAAAAAATGAAAAAAAAAATTGGAAGATTTTATTTAAAGTTAATTAGTTTAAATGGAATATGGTTGAGAGAGAGAGAGAACCTTGACGAAGTCGTATTTGGAGGAAGCGTTGCGAGGACTGGATTTGGCGGAGGGGAGAGAGGGAGTGGTAATCTTGTCGTCATCTTCGTCTTCTCCACTGTAATTCTGGTTAGCTCTTGCTCGCACGGCAATTCCCTTGCCCTTGTAGTTCATCATCTTCTCATATTCCCCCTTTTTTTTTTCCTTCTTTTCCTTTCCTTTTGGATTTCATTCAATGTACAGACTTCAGAACTTCGACAGCCTCCCCTTTTTAAAAAAAAAAACACGCTACTGTCTTTTTCACGGACTTCCCCGCATCTTTGCCACCTCAGCTTCAGCTATCAGTATATAGGGTTGATCATTCGTGTAGAATACTAAAATTTATACATTTATATTATTTTTATATAAAAAATTTATATTATAATTTATATTTATATAAAAATATAAAATATATTTTTTATTTTATTAAATTATATATAATTATTATTAAAATCTAAATCATATCATTTTTTTATTTATTCTTATATCATATTTTTATTATATTATCATTTTGTATTTTAAATTATTAGATATATATCTCAATCTTTTTCTTATATATTTTATTTTATTTTATTTATTTTATTTTTCCAATTAAAGCCCATTCTTCAACCAGCAAAAATTATTAGTAATTATTTATTTAAATGATAGTAGTAATAAAATTCTCTTTCTTTCTTTTTTTCTCGAAGAAAAAAATGGTGACTCTACTTTTTTTTATTCTCTTATTTTATAAAACAACTTAAGGATAAGGCTCCACAACGTAAGAAGTAAAAAGATGTCGTACCACAATGTTAATGCTTTCCCCTCTAAAATTACACCCATATTTGACACTACTTTGTCTCTATTTACTAACCTAGTTTAGTCTTACAGAAGGAAAGGAAAGGAAAGGAAAGGAAAGGAAAGGAAAGTGCTGATAAAATATTTCCATTTTACAAGTACACCACTAATCACTAGCATCAGCAGAGTGCAGAATCTATTCGCTCAGGCTCCGCATCTCATGTCCTCTTGAAAAATCTACCACCTCTTTTTCCCATGCCACTTCCTGCAAGACTCGATGCAAGCAGGGACTTGGCGTCCGGCCTCCACCTCAACTCTTTTAGATTACAGAATAAGGTTGCAAGTGCAGGAGATATATCACTTTCCTTTATGTTCTTGCATGATATCACTTTAAGATTTTCAAGGTCACGCCAGGAAAGAATCACGGCTTCCAGTCCTTCAGTTGTTAGCAACGAGCATCCTTCTAAAGATAACAACTTTACTCTCCTGTGAGAAAACGAATTACCGTTAGTTTTTCAATCATACACAATGTTGGTTATTTGAATCCTTGTTCCTAGTTCCTGGATCATGTGGTTGTAAATTAATTGATGCTCATCATATTGCTACCTAACAGACATTATGATCACCAAATCTCATTTATTTACACACCTGCACAATGTATTACTAGACCAATGTTTCACTATCATTTGAAATTCATTACATTGCTTAACATTTCAAAATCAATGACCAGAGACTCTCATCGTTGCAACAGAAACTAACCCTTTTTTCCTTTCAAGCCACATCAATGGCGCAAAAGGACTAGTGAAGTGAAATATGAACTAAATGAATCCCCAACCAACTCTAGATTAGTTCCTAATCTGAAACATCTAATATCAAATCACAAGTCAAGCTAAACAAAACAAAGAAAAAAGTGACAACAATTCATTACCTGCAAACACTTGCAAAGCTGAACATATCATTATCCAATCCCCAGCAGTCCTGAACAACAACCTCTCTCACAGCTTCACATACTCTCATCAACGCGCTCATGCTCTTCTTACTCCGCAACTGACACTTCTGCAAATGCAACCGCTCAAGAGCCGGACAAAACCCCAAATACTCATACGGACCCGGACTCAAATCAATCCTCTTACAAGACAACAACTTCAAAGTCTTCAAATTCTCACAATATGACAATGCAGCCAACCATCCATCATCCATACGATGATCACAAATAGTCAATTCTTCAAGCATTAAACAACATTGCCCAATCGCTTTAATCCCATCAAAACTCCCTTCACATCCACTAAGCTCAAGCTTAACTAACCTCTTACAACCTTGAGCTAAGATAGTTAACCCAATATCGGAAACCAATGAACTATAAAGTCCATCAATGTTTCCAACAAGTTTCAGGATTTGCAAATTCTCACATGCTGCAATGCCTCGTAAAACATTATCGTTGCACTTATGTAACTCCAATTCCTGCAAAGTCAGACATTCTTCAGCCACCGTTAACAACCCGAACTCACTGGCGTTAATTGCCACAAGTCTTCGAAGATTCGGGCAGCCATTGGCAAGTGCTCGAAGCCCTCTATCAACAACTTCAACAGGCAAAAGATTTTCTTCCAAAAGCTTCCAATTTGAACAAAACCCAGAACTCATTTGCATCGAAATCATCCGATGAGTCAACAGAATCCCAGAATTCCGCGGCGAAAACAAACAGCCTTTGAGCAAATCCACGTTAGTTAAGTTAGGGAACCTCGTGATTAACCGACCCGATTCGATGAAGTCCCAATCTAGGATCTTCAAGGACCGTACAAGGCGGCCTTGGAGATTGAGCCACCGCTTGCAGACGAGGGAGTTAGAATTCCGTTGTGAAAGGGGTAGCTTTGAGAGAATTTTTAAGAGGAGCTCGTCGGATAAGAGAAGGGTTCGGTCGATGTTGGCGAAATTGGGGATTAGGGTTTGAGATTTGGGGTCTTTTGAAGCTAAAGACTGAAGTTGCATAGCGAACACCACATGCTTTAATGGCTTGGTATTTTTGAGCCAAACGTCTGACCAGCTCGGTGGCCTCTTCTTCAATGGTGAATCTTGGTTTTCATCCAAAACCGACATCGTTATCAATCAATACCTTCTTCTTCTCTGCTTCTGCTCTGCTTCCGCCGCTGGCTCTTTGACCTTTATCCTTTTTTTCCCACTTCACTAAATTAACATCCCAAAATCTTCCACTTTTTCCATCTAAAAGAGTAGAATTTTCATTTCTTGTGAGATTTTGTGGTTTTTTTTTTATTAGTCTGAAGACAGAGATGGGACGAGGAGTTAATCCTGACTTCAGTTCAGCGAATGACTTTGATGCAGCTAACGGAGTTCTTGAAGCGGTGGGGTCGGGATTTTTTGAATGTAAACAGTTATGGCTTTTTGTTTGTTATCTGAGATTTTGAAAAATTTTGTTGTTATCCAGACAATAGCAGAGAAAATTTGGATATTTGAGGAGAGGAAAGCTAACTGTAAAAAGCTATTTTCGAGTGGGCTTTTATCTGAATTGAATGGATAGCTTTCCATCTTAAATGAGCTTGGTTGGAATGAGATTGGGATTATAAAAGCTAATTGGATCATTACTATTATTTTATATAATATTGAGTGGTTACAGTTAAAAATGGCGAAATCGAAGCTCATTTTTTATCGTTACATTGTTTTTCTGTTATGGGTTTATCATCCTATCAACTTTCATTGAGTTATCTGATTAATTTAATAAATTTTCTCTTTTAAAAAATAAATAAATGCACAAAGATCTGAAATGATTAATGAATTGAATTACTGTTATAATCAATAAGTTTCCATATTAAAATAAATTTTATAAATCAGAAATCATCATATGTATAATTATGTGCATGTAAGTTTAATTTATTTAAATATCATCATTTAATCTCTATTTGACTAAAATGTAAGTCAAGTAGTCATCCAAAAAAGTTTTTTGATAATGTTGTTTTTATTAAGCTTACATCTTAGTTTAGTGTTGTTCCTTTTCCTAAAATTTTAAGTACTTATTCATAAAATTAACTCCCATAATTACTAATTCAAATGTAACTCATTTTATAATAGATATTTAATCATACACTCCTAGAAGTTTTTACCCCTACCCAAATTCATGGCTTGAGCCTAATCTGTTATGGCGATTAAGATTTCTTGATAGGCTGATCAGATTTTATTTTTAAGTAGATATTCACTTGCTGAAAAAGAAGATTTTGTTGGTTTTTCATTTTTGAACTCATTGATAATTATTTAAAATTAAAAAAAAAAAGAAAAGAAATAAGGTTTACAAGTAATTGAATAACAGAAAAGATCCTTAAAAAAACAATTGAAAAGTTTTTTTTTTTTTCAAGATAAGACAAGTCATTAATTTAAAATTAACTGATTTGAATACATATAAAGTTTCATATAAATTACATGTACACACTAAAATTTTTTTATATAAAAAATTTATCCAATACGAAATGTGAGTCCCACTTATTTTAAATATTTAAATACCATTTTTAATGATCTCATTATTAACGACTTACAGAATAAAGAAAATAAATATTTTATTTTTTATTTAAAGACAAAACATACTATTAACTAAAAAATTTAATTTAAATTAATACAGAATCTCGTATAAACAACACTCACGTACCCAAATTTCCGGTGTGGGAAGCCATTGAAAAGTCCTTCGGATATGTAGGAAGTCGTGAGTCGGAAATAGAAGTAAAGAAGGAAAAAAAAATGGCCATCAGAGAGGATAGTCTTAACTATGAAAACTCTGGCAAATATAGTCTTATTAATTATCAAGTTTGTCCAAGTAAAATTCTTCGGAGCTGTCACCCGATTGGATCATCCATGTAAAATCTAAAGGGGGCAATAACTAGATATAAACACGTACCCGTCCCTTCAGTCTTTTGTTCATGGGATATTCATTTAACTTCATGCGTGCTAAAAACACAAAAACATACATTTTTAGTTGGGAGCTGCCATAAATTTGCCTTACTGCACTGCGATCAAGAACGAGCTGCAGCTGCCATCTGCTGTTTCTTTTATCCTCTCTCCATGCTCTACCATGCTGTAACGGTAGCAGCAAATGCTAATGTCAAATTTGTTATCACAGCAAATGGAATTTTTGTTTGATCAAAATTAGCATAAACTAAATGATTTTAACCAATAAAATTATGGTTCAATAATACATATAATCTTAGATTCATAGTAAATAGAAAAAGAAAAGAAAGAGTGAGGTAGGCTGCACATAACTTGCAATTATTAATAATATTAACTAAAATTTATTTATTATTTAAAGTTGAAATTCGATAGTATTTATTTTTTCGTACTTGAGCAATTTGGCCAACAATTTTATGAATAAATAATTTAAACTCAACTTAATTTTGTTCGATACTGTAGTTAAAAAAAATAGATTACAGATTATAGGAATTTTTTCTGTCTTGAAAAAATAAGACAAATAAGTTCGTAATGGGCCTCGGAAAGTTCTGACCAAAACGAACGCCTTAAAGTGCCCTTCGGACCCACGATTGGCCCCAATGAGGTGCGATTAGGGGTGCCTGCAATCGTACCATGCTTATTTTTACGCCATGTTGTGGCGCGGTGGGGATGCCGAGATGGTCTCCACCAATCATTGTAGCTTTGCTTCTCTTTTTACCGATGATTCTTGATTTGGTTTTCCATTATTTATTTGTGTAAAGTAATAAATAAATTTATATAATTAGATAATAGATAACTAAATAATAAAAAATTTAATACATATTATATATATATAATTAATTACATAATATATATACATTTTAAAATATAAATATAAAATATTAATCTGTATTTTAAAATATAAAAAATATATAAACTATTTATAACTCCTTATATTAAAAGGATCTCTAAGAAATTTGGGAAGTGACACATGTAAATTAATGTGGGTTTATTAAGTTTTGTGGGCCGTAAGTTTGTAAAAAAAATTTTTTGTGGGCTGAACTTATACTTTTTCTATGAGTTTGTAAGAGAATTTTTTTGAATTGACCTTCAAATTTCAAATGGCCGGTCTAATTATATAAAATAATTATTTTATCTTGGAGGAAAAACAAATCCCATAACATATCTCCAATAAAACTTACTATTGGAGTAAGAGCTGAATCAAGAATAGAGCTGAGATCATTCTTAAGCGACTGCAAAAGGATTAAAAGCTTCAAATTTTGAAATGTCACTTTTGAAAAAATATGAATAGACCTAATAATTTAAAATATGATACAGTAATACGATATAAATATTATATAAAAATAGAATATAAAAATAACATGATTTAAAATTTTAATAATAATTATATATGAGATTAACAAAATAAAATATATATTTTATATTTACGTATAAAATATATTATAAATACATAAAATTTAATATTTTATAAGATATAAACACACGAATCATTAGATGTAAAAAAAAAAAAAAATTTCCCCCAAGATGTTGGTTTTTACAATTCAAAGATCAATAGCAATAATAAAAAAAAAAACTAAACCATATAATGTATCATGAAGTGAACAGAGATGCACTAATGGGAGATTTTCTCTAGATGAAGAATAATAAAGATGTCATATAACTAAAGGTACTATAAAAACCATCAAAAGAGAAATGATAAGTTTCAAATGTTTCTCTTTCTTCTTGAGAGAAAAGGTTTAACAAAAATGGCCTAAAAATATACTTTGCAGCGACATGACAAGTTTTAATCATAAAACCGAGTTGTTGGTAAAACTAATATGAAAAGACAAGAAGATATACTGTTGAAACAAAATTATATATCATTGATAGAATGCATGTGAAAAGTAATTGTAATAATCTTTCATGATAAATAGAATAATAAAAAATAATAAAATAAAATTATTAATTGAATAAATTGAATCATTTTATACAATAATAATAATAATAATAATAGAATATAATTATTTTTAAATAATTAAAAATATAATAAAAATTTTATTAAACAAGTATCGACTTCAAATAATTAAAAAAATATAAAAAAAATTATCAATTAATTATTATATTGTTACTGAGAAGTTTCAAATTCAAATCATGAAATCAACTAAATACATATATTTTCCCTTAAAAAATCTTAAGTAATCTCTGTTTTAAAATAAAAAAAATTTTAATCCAGATGTAAACGGAAACTTTTACTAGTTATTAATTAAAACATTATATATAAATATCATCCAAAGTTTAAGAATCCGTTATCTTTACACAAAGAAAGTAGGTAAAATTTGTCGATCATACACGATACCATGTGTGTCTAGTTTTCAACTTTTAATAATAGTCAAACCTTAAACATTTATCATCTAAATCAGTGGTGAAAAATAAAAAAAATTATTTCATTTCCAAGAGCAATGTCTAAAAATAATAATAAAAAGCATAAACCCACAAATATTAACCATTTTATTTTTATAATTAACTCTTTTTTAGGTAAAGTTATAAAGAAAAATGTATGTTAATTGATTGAGTTCAATTATAAAAAATATTGTTTTTGGTTGAATCCAGTAATTCATGTTTACATTAACATATATTATCACATTTTTTTTTATTAGTATACATATTCCTTTACTTTTGTGTTCAAACAAACTTTTGCTTCTCTCATTACCACACTATAAGTGATAACATTTGTGAAAATTATTATTATAAAAATAATTAACTTGGAAAATTATGAAGAGATAAACTATAATTTTGGCAAGGTCGCTGTCAATCTGGACCTTCTGTATTTGTTCTTATTTGCCAAAGGAAGGCTTGTTGTGACCTACTATCCTTTTTAAGTTCCCTCACTCACTCACTTTCTTCCCCCAACTATAAATTAGCCCTCTCTTTTGCCCCTGTTTGTTCTTGTGACTTGTGAGCGTTTCTGTTCTCTTGTTGTTCTTCTTTCGCTTGCTATCTTGTCGCAGTTAGTCATCGTTTGGGCTGTTGCTGATATGGATAAAAAGCAAAGAATATGTAAGATCTGTAACAGAAGGTTCGCTAATGGCAAAGCCATGGGTGGTCACATGAGATCTCACTTAGCTAAACTTCCGGTTCCTCCTAAACTCAGTTCCTTCCCATCTTCTTCTTCAGCCTCACTGGCTCCTCCTTCTCCTTCTGCTTTTAGTTGTCGATCTGAACTTTCTAGCGAGTCTACAACAGTGAGAAGATCCAAACGATTTCGCAAGTTCGGGTTGAACATGGGTGGTTCAGGTTCAGGCTCACCATCTGACAGTGATGAAATATTATCTACTGATGCTGCTATGTCTCTTCTAATGCTTTCCAGAGACAACTGGACTCCAAAACAAGAGCGAAAGAAGCAAAAGGTAATAGATTATGAGTATTTAGATGATGATAATGGTGGTGTCGACGATATGGATTGGGAGGGAGATGAGAATTATGATGATGAGTTGTTTTGCGTCACTAACCTTGATGCCAAGTACAAGTGTGAGACATGCAAAAAAGTTTTTAAATCTCATCAGGCTTTAGGTGGGCATAGAGCTAATCACAAGAACAAACAGATTATTAGGGCTTCTACTATGG